ATGAAAATTCGCGATGCCTCGTCGTGAGCTTTCATGAATGAATATGAACTCGCCATGAATGTGAATGAAGTGAAGTGTGAAAATGAATGTGGGCGGACCGTTCGTGTGATGCGAAATGATATGCAGGCGGCTGCTTGACGTGCAAAACTAGCATTTGCACTCAACAAATTTCCCTTAGGAAAATGGGGCTTGCAGGCGTGTGTATAGCAACTAGCGGAGCTGAAACCTTCAAGGGGCAGCTCGGTGATCGTCTGCTGTGGGACCTGCACGAGGACAAGGATCTTCGTGATGAGCTGTGGCATGTGCCGGTGGTGCCGTGGAATGAGGTGGCACCTAAGAAGGAGAAGGGGAGCTGCCGGTGCAAGGGAGAATGTGCTGCAGTGGCTGCTCAAACGGTCAAGGAGCTAAAATCGACGGTGGAGATGCTGGTGCAGTAGCTGAAGCAGGTTGATGCTCGACTTGCAGCGGCTGAAAAACGAAATGGTGAGAGGAATGGTGCTGGAGCAAAGGGGAGTGAAGTCATAGTTGCTGCTATGGACCAGGGAAAGGGAGTGTGCAAAGATGACACTCATGAGCAGGAGAAACCCAAGGCCGTGGTGGACCTCAAGGATGAAGGTGTGAAGAAGTAAACAATGGTGCTGAATGTGGCAAGCATTGCAGCTGATGGAACCGGGGTGATGGGAGAACCCAAGGTGAAGAGGAGCTTGGAGGAAACGGATACAACATTGGGTGGTAATGATATCACCTCATTGAAGCTACAAACCGCTGATGTAATGAAAGCTGAAAGTGTGGGGGAGCATGAAACAACCTTTCCTAAAACTGGAGTTGGGATCGGCAATGCAGTGGAGCCAGTCGATAGTGAGAAGCACGTTTAGGGAGTTGAATAGCCGTCAGGTTGAGGGGGAGTTTGTTAGGTGCAAAATGCATTTTGCACGTCAACCTGTCGCCTATTCGTCGAGCAAGGTGAAATTTGAAGGTTTTTGTTTTAAGGTAATTTGTTGTGTTTGTGATGCGCATTTGTGTGCTCTTCATTTTGGCGTTTACGGTTTATGAATCGCCTTAGCGGTTCATAAGTTATGTGCATTTTAGTGTGAGGTTGCATTCATGCGTTTTCATGATTGTTCGTGTGTGTTTCGTGTTGTCCGTGTCGTGTCATGAATGTGAGTGAAGTTCCGAGTGATCATGTGCTTTCATGAGCCTTCGCGCATTCATGTCTGTTTGCGTACTGTTCGTGTAACCTTCGTGAGCGTTCATGTATCTTCATGTTCATTCATGTGCGTTCATGTTTGTTCATGACTGTTTGTGTTTCGTTCATGAATGTTCCAGCTTTGTTCGTGAGTTTTCATGTGTGTTCATTTGAGTGGCGAGTGTTTTTGGGTGCTCGGATTTTCTGTGGCGCTGGTCAAGGTAAAAGTGCGCAAAAATCTGGACCGCGCGTGTGGGTCCAGATCTCGCGTGTGGGTCCTGAGGGCCCACGCGTGTGGCTCGTACTGTTGCAAGCGTGCGCATGGCGCACGTCCTGGCACTGTACAGCACGACCATTTCAGCTGGTCGTGCATGATTGCGCCCCTGAGGGGTGCGCGTGTGTTTCGGGGGGTGCCGAGGGATCCTGAGGGGTGCTCGGGATTGACTCGAGATTTCAGTTGTACAACTGAATCTCGAGTCTCGTCTTTTGTGACGTGGCACAGAGAATTTTCGCGGGAAAGCACCGCGCCTAACCGGACAGTTCGCTTTACAGGTGCAAAACGGAAATATCCGTTTTACAACTGTAAACGGTGGGAGAACGGGAATTCCCACATGAGCGTTCATGATTCTACATGTGCGTATGCGAGATGACTCAACAGGGGAATTTGGCAGACATGGAAATTGAAGATAGTTATTTCAAGGACTCAGATCAAGCCAAATGCAGCGGAAGTTTGGCAACCGTTTTTCCAGACAGCAAGGGGAAGTCATAGAAATGCAGTTTATCAACTGTTTGCTATTTTCCTTTGCATGTGTGTTAGGCAAAATATATATGCGTGCTTGTGCGAAGTTGTAATCAATCTTTTGGGTAAATATTTTCTCTATCAATGTATTGACGTGAAGAGAACTCTCTGCACACGACCAGTTCGTCGTCAACGCTGTACATACGAGTTTTGGGAGTGCTCTAGTGCACGCTGTTGTTTTTACACTTAGTACGTCCCTCTACAAAACACGGACCCTTGGTTAGGGGCTGGCTTAGCCAGGCACCCGAGGACCCTTGGAGGTGATCCCGTGGGGACCACTAAGAGTGAATTAAAGAGCGTGTATAGAGTTTCTAGATCCCAATAGTAGTCAACATTTTGAGCACTCCAATTCCTGCACTAGTTTACGCCCAACCATGTAGTGTACTTTCAGCCCACCCACGTCACTTTTTCTCGCCACTCAAGTACAGTAAAAACTAGAACTCTGATTTCTATTCGTCAACCCTGACAGCTCTCAGTGTTTTTTGTCAACACTGAGCGCCACAAGAAGGCTCAGACTTGCCGTTTTGCGGCCAATGGGCTTTCAGATTAAAATTTGGGGGGGGAGGGGTGCGGGGAGGGGAGGGGGGGGGGGGGGGGGGGGGGGGGAGAAATCAGAGTCGCCATATTTGATTCGTCAGCCCTGCCCACCCATGTGCTTCCAGGTGTGCAGCACCAACTGCGGGCTGCTGGGGTTCTAGCCGCCGTGTTCCTCACCCTCCCATCCATCGCTATGCTGCCTGCACCACTGCAGTAGCTAATCACGTTGTCATGCCAGCAAGCCAGTCAGCAGCCCTACATTGCCCCAGCCACACAGGGATCACTTCTGAAAATGCTTTGAGAACTCTTGAAAGCCACTTCTGAGGGTCCTTACAACTGAATCTGGTGCAGTGCCACTGACTGCGCCAAATCACTTTAACTGTGCAGTTGCTTTCACCCGCATGCGTTGCCGTTGTGCCGCCATGAATCTCCCCAACGGCATCCACTGCCCCACCTTCTCCCCCTGCTCTGCAGGCACCCGTGCCTTTTCTACACAAATTCTGGTGCAGCTTTAACACAGCTGTATCAGAGCTGGTGTTCAAATCCCATTGTTTATCTTCTCTTTTAGCAATATCTGTTGTAAGTGACTGTTGCTCATAGGGTCACTTGAGATGACCAAGAGATCATGAGGATTAAAAATTGACAAACATATGAGTGCGTTGATTCACAAAACCAACATGCTTTTTCTTACCCAGTCTGTTAGCGGACTTGCGAAGATAACTCGATCAACGGGAGCTAGACTACAAGCTAGGTACGGGGCAAGGGTGATCTTTGCGTTCCTTAGTCGTTTTCTGGTATTCTCACTACTGCGTTCATGGGAGAATTTTGCAAGAGTTTCACTAGGAAAAGAGTTCACAACAATGATAGCAACAACATTGGTATGCAAGACTACATTAGAGCTAGCACAGCTGCTGGTCGACTGCCAGCGCAGCACGGTCGACCGCGTGCCAGCACCACTTGGTCGGCCGCGCTCCAGCGGAGCAAAGTCGCGACTTGCCAACGTTGCAAGTTCACGGTGTGCCAACAGTGCAGCAAGTCGGCTGCACAGCGTTGCACCCGCAGGACAATGGTGCACCTGCTTCGCAGGTGCGTGCAGCACCAAGAGATACCACACCGAGGTCGGCCTCGCCATGAACCACCTGAGCGACTATCGCGCGTCTCCGCAGAAACCCGTCGCCCGGGTAACCTGGTCGACCGGGCAACCACGTCGACCGGCTGCTCCTTTACGTGCCCGTCGACCTCCCAGTCGACGACCACCTCTAGTCGACCTCACAAGGCCGACCACACTCTTGGTCGACCAGCTCCAGGTCGACGACACTCTCGGTCGACAAAATCCAGGTCGACCAGTACACCTGTCGGCCGACCACACCTAGTCGGCTTCCCCAAGTCGGCATCACCAAGTCGACGCCTCTAATGTCGACCTCGCCAGGTCGACCACCTGAAGTTGGCGCCCTCCCAAAGTCGACGCCCTTGCAGTGGCCCCCGTGCAGGTCGACCAGCCCGTCGACCAGCTCGCCCACTGCTGCAGCTCGGCTGCACCCTTCACACCCGACCACGAAGTCGGCACCGCCCAAGCGAGGACAGGGCCAAACACAACTCCCATTGACGGGACTGGTGTTAGCAAGATGTCAAGGCGGTCAAATACTGAACTCTCAGAGCGTATTCCTACAGCCTCATATCAGGCCAACCTCGTATCAAGCTTGCAAAACACTTAAATCTCGGCTTGCTTTGATTGTTTATTGCCTATTTCCTGGTTTGATGCGTGAAAAAAAAAAAAAAAAAATCTGAACGTGTCAAGCGTGATTGCCTGACGTGGCAGACAAGGCACGCGAGCACAATGGCGGTTCATCGCCCTACTGTTCGGTTCGAACCCGACAACACATTGCTGCATTTGCGTGCTATAGTAGATCAGCCACACGTGGTTTGCTGATATGGCACATGTTTTTTTCTCGCGCACATTTTTTCCCGCGCGCATCTCACGCAATACAAGTACTGAATTCCGGATTTATAACAAATTTCTCGAGTTTTTCCAATCCTGATACGAGGTTGGCCTGATATGAGGCTGTAGGAATACAGAGCGTGCACCGACACTCATATCTCTTTCCCATTGCGGGTGCATGTTGTTCATAAGGGCCACTGGGACGACCCACATATGCTGCAAAGGCAACACGTATGGTCTTGGGGGATCTGGATGCGTTGAATTACCAATTTCAACATGCCCTACCACCACAACTGGTTTGCTAGGTGGCGTTTCTAGCACAGGTTGGTATATCAACGCCATTGCATCCATGGGCACCAATAATAACTCCTGCACTCGTACATAAGACCGTGTGTGTGATTGTGGTTGTGGCTGTGGCTATGTGAGTGTGCCCAGGCACACGGTCACAGGCCAAGATAGCGGACTTAGGCTTACTGAAAAAGTTGAGACAAGCAGGAGAGGACGGTGATGAGACACGAATAACCGGGACCCCAGGCTACATGGACCCGGATTACTGCCGCTCCCATGTGGTGTCGGAAATGTCTGACATGTTCAGGTGGGATCTAGGAAAGGAGACACTCTGGAGTGTGCTGCCATCAAGGTTTTCGGTCTTTTTCTCCCTCCATCACATGAACCACTTGTCTGCATGCTGTTTATCGCAACTTTGTTGTTGCTTTGACCTCTTTACCGTTTTCTCCTCTCTGATTTCCCCCACATGTGAGCAGATTTGGTGTGGTACTGCTCCCTCTTTACCGTTTTCTCCTCTCTGATTTCCCCCACATATGAGCAGCTTTGGTGTGGTACTGCTTGAGCTCTTGACAAGGCAGAGGACGCATGTGGAAGGAACTACCATGCATATTCGTAAATGGGTAAGGGCATGGTAACACTCATGACATAATCCTCGTCTAAGATGGTCCACAACCCACACCCTCCCTTTTATGTCTTCTTTGAATCCAACGCACCTATACCTCTTCATTCTCCCTCATGGAGTCACTTGCTGTCCTCCCACAATCTCCGGCTCTCCCTCTCTCCTAGCATGACAGGCAGCGTGCAAGGTGCAGGCGTACGAGTTCCGTGAGCTGAAGGATGTGGCACTGGAGGCCCTGGAGGATGCAGTGGTGGAGTTTGCCGACATCGCTCTCGACTGCGCCAAGGTGACTGGCTCCCGCCAGCCCTCTATGGAGGACGTCGCCCGCCGCCTGCAGGCACTCCTCTCCAACCATTGCAGCGAAGGAGAGTGCAACATTGAACCGAGCATGCGCTTGTACAAAACCATGGAGGAGAGCCTAGAGAGGCTCACTGGTGGTGGCATGGATGATTTTGAAAGGAGTGAGATTTCGAAGGATGTGTGAGGACTTGTTGCTGGTTGTTCGAGCTGGAATCTGCCAGGGAAGTGGTGATTGCTGGAATGCAGCTAGTCTACAATAAGAACCAACTTGGGGTTTGCATCTGGCAAGGCTACACTTCTCAAGCTTTCTAATGAATTTGACCGCTTTTGTGCAGGATGATGGGAATGATTCATCTCTCCCATGTTTCTGTTGATCGTGAGTGTTTTAGGTGGATTCTTAAGATACCGGCATCCCCCAAATATACGCACCGCTGGTAACTTTGCTTGCAACGCTATATGTTTGTATGGTCAGTGTGCATTTAGAGGTATAACGTATCATTCTCAGCACGAATGTCAAATATCTAAAGTACCATCAGACCCTGGATGTACGGTATGTGCAGGCCTATGTACCAGCAGATCGGCATCAATGATTCGTTGAAGTTGGATTACTTTAAGCCTCCAATGTAGTGTTTGACATGCTACCCCTCGTGCATGTAGCCCACCTGCTCGCAGAGTGCCAAGAATCTTCTCGTATAGTCCTTGACCAATCCGAGCTGCCGCCAAGTGTAGCTTCTGACCTGCCAAAATTGAAGTCGTCAATGGCTCGAACCTCCAGCATAGACCTGCACACAATGCGTCCCACTTGCAGCATTAGGTTATTTCACAGTAGGAGGGTTTTCAAGGAATCGTGGGTCCAGAAGGTCCCTGCGGTAGCGGCTCGTAGTCGCTCGGTGCAGTGACGAATGCACGCCACCAGTCCATGGTGGCTTCTTGTAGTAACGATACAGCGTATCTGATTTTCGCTGCATCAATTGTGACGTTATTTGCATCAAATATACATTCATCATGAAGATCCATGACTGAACCGTCAGACCACACCATTGACTTAGGTTGAGGCATGAGCGCCATGGGTGTCGCATTCTTAAAACCGTGGTTTTCTGTCGCGATGTTGATGCGGCGGCAATCCCCACGTGGTGGTTCCGCTATAGTCGGTCCAATGAGGTGTGTCGTACCTCCTACATTGCATGCTTCGCACGTGGCGCCATCATTGGCAGCGGTCGAGTGTTGCCCCACCCTCATGTTGGGGCAGTGTTGTGAGTGTTGGTGCTGTATGTTGTGCTTGATTCTTGTTCCGTCGTGAGCGTGGTAATTAAATTTACGTGGAGCTGTTGTAGCAATTCGTCCAGGTGTTCCTGCACGAGTTTCACAATAGGTAGGCGGCCTCTATACTGCAGCATTGATTGGTTGCTCGAGTTTTGCGAACATCGATTGATTGGTCGACAACTTGACAACAGGTAGGCGGCCTCTGTATTGCAGTCTTGCAAATATGGACGATTTGCAGTTGAAAATGTGCTCACGACCCAACAAAGTTGCAAACGTGTAAACGGAAATATCTCGCGACTCAACCAAGACACAGATGTCCGTTGATTATTAACAAGGTGGCACTTTCGAGTTGATAAGGCGTCAGGAAAGTGTCCACCGTGATTAACATCTATCAAACTGCAAAACAGTGGCCGCTAGTTACGAGCTTCGTTAAATCAACGACGCCATTCTCAAAAGGGCTACCTTTGCCAACAATGGTCCATCAGACTCAGTACATTCAGGACTTGACATGCCCGTATCACGCTTAGGGACGTATGCTTCTTCAAGAAAAAGAATAAATAAATAAAAAGGTTAGAGGGAGGGCTGGTTGTGGAAGAGAAAAATGTGCGGTTCGAAAGGATGGGGCTCCGAGTAACGAGTGAATGGGGTCTGCATTTAAGGGGCAAGATAATTAAAATATGAGCGATAGCATGCGAGAAACATTTAAAGCGAAAGGTGCGAACCATAACGCAGTGCGGCAAGCTAGTCTATGGAATGCTGGCAGTGAGGCTCGGACTGGTACCGAAGCGTAGGCTGCAAGGTTTGGCAAATGTAACGTGCAAAGTGGCAAACACCATGAATAAGTAACGAGCAAAGAACATTCAAGTGCACGGTACGCATGTGTTCAGTAAGGAATTTGGAAGATTTGATTCCACTCACAAAACGTAAGAGTATCAGGCTGGCACTTGTCTTTCGCAAAATCGGTTTGCGACGATTATTTTGTTATCTCGTCAAATGTAGACTATCTTACCGTCTATTTCCGGACATAAACCCGGGGGACTTTCTATAAATTCAGTGAAAAAGGCTAGGGTGAACATCATTGATAAGAGTCCCCAACATCTATTTTGCCCCTGAAACCCCCGTATTTCTCTCTACAGTACAATTTCTTATGCGCATATTGAGCACCACAGAAAACATATCGAAAGTGCCTTTTCAGACCTTCGATCTGACACGGTCAACGTGTCAGGTTCAAGGCTGACACATTCATCAGAAAGCCACGCTTTCCCTTTGGAATCTGAGGCGCGAATTTATAAAGAGCAACAAAAAACACAGTTTACACTCAAGAGGGGGGCTCTTAAAATTGTTAATATTGAAACGGGGGTCTTCACAGATTGGTCCTAAGTAAGCGTTCCCCCTTCCCCCCCCACTCTCCCCCCCCCCCCCCCCCAATGAATGACCCGGGGGACTTTCTTTCCGGAGGGTCATATATCCGAGAAAAGACGGCACAAGTGTTAGAGGGAATTCTAAAGACAAATCATAGCCAATCCCCAATGACATAGCCTGAACGCTCGCAATGGCGAGGTGGAAATTTTTGGTGATCGCATTTAACTGAGGTTGGGATTCTGAATTACACCCAACCAAGAAAGCGTAAACTGAAGCAGGATATAAACTACGTACAACCAGAAATTTGAGATTGCAGTTTACCCTGAATAACACACCGCAGAGAGTATATTTTGGAGGTGACGGTACCATACGAATGTACCCTAAAACACTCAAACTGAACAACCACTGGGACTGATGAAGCATGCTCATTATCCTAAACCTGCCTAAAGTCAGCTCTAGTTGAAGCACCCACATAATCCCAAACTAGCTTCACTATAGCATTCACGACCACCCAGCAGCAAAGCCTCACAACTCCTCGGAGATCTCGCTCTTTCCAAAAGTATCCAGGGAACCACCCATGCCACCACCTGTGAGCATCTCCAGGCTCTCCACCATGCTCTCCTTTGCGCTTTTCCTGATAAGCATGCTTGATTCAGGAGGGACAAATATTTCCTCGCTGCAGTGCTTGGAGAGCAGTTCATGAAGGCGGCGTGCGACGTCCTTCATGGGGGGGCGGCGGGAGCCGGGCACCTTGACGCAGTCGAGAGCGATGTCGGCAAAATCCACCACCGCCTCCTCCGGGGCCTCCAGTGCCGCGTCCTTCAGCTCGCTGATTTCGTATGCTTGCACCTTGCGCGCCGCCTGTCATGCGTGGAGGAGGGGGAGTGGAGGATGGGTGGGTGAGGCGGGGAGGGGGGCAGGGAAGAGAGGTTTGGGAGCCAGAACTGTAGCTGTTGGTGGAGGGAAACCAACCATGGTGAGAGCAAGGGAGGGCATAAGAGCCTCAGTATGTAAGGTGAGAAATAGCAAGGGTTCCTGAAGTATTTTAGCTAGAGAGCCAAACTTCCTCCCATACACTCACCCATATACAAATATGTTGGTAGGTTCCATCTCTCATATGGGTCCTCTGCATAGTCAAGAGCTCAAGCAGCACGACACCAAAGCTGCAAATAAGGGTTGAATGCAGAGAATAAAGAGGGGAGAGAATAAGTAGATAGGTTTAACCGGAACAAGGTCTCAATATTCTCAATATCCTGCATAGAACGTTTAATACTCCAACGATGGAATGAAAGGGAATGATAACTATTAAGCCGGCCAAAATATTGCCCACCTGTATACGTCGGACCTTTCGGTCACCACACTGGAACGATTGTAATCTGGATCCACATAGCCTGGAGTCCCAGCTATTCGCGTCCGATCTTCGTGCTCTCCTGCTTGGCTCAGCTTCTTAAGTAAACCAAAGTCTGCTATTTTAGCCTGAGTACATGCGCACAGACACGGACATGCAGCCATAACCACACCCACATTGACACAAAAGAAACCCAAACAGTCCCACCCGAGCCATCCACACACCCACCATACACATACCCATATCCTCCCTTCCCACGCGTACACACACACACACACACATACACACACATATACACATATACACATACACATACACACACACACACACACACGCACGTGCATGCATGCGCGTACGCGTGCGCGCGCACACATACACACACACACACACACACACACACACACACACACACACACACACACACACACACACACACACACACACACACACACACACACACACACACACACACACACACACACACACACACACACACACACACACACACACACACACACACACACACACACACACACACACACACACACACACACACACACACACACACACACACACACACACACACACACACACACACACACACACACACACACACACACACACACACACACACACACACATACACAAGTACACAGGCATGAACATTTTAAATTAAATGTACAAAGTACCAGTCGTATCGTATGTATGACTGGAGGAGTTATTGGTGGGATTGGATGCAATGACATTTACATGACATGTTGTGCTTGAATCAACGGTATGCTGAACAGTTGTGTTACGATAACTTGTTGGTGTTCGTAGGTCAGTCAGAGCACCCATACCTCCCAAGACAGTACCTACGGCCCTTTCAAAATATGTGGGTCATCCCAGTTTCCCTTATGAGCAACACACACCCACAATGGTAGAAAGGTACGAGATTCAGTCACACTCAGGTCAACCTACGACGGCCTTGATACTTTGATGGGAACAGCAGTCCCTTGACAAACAGGATCAAGATATGCATGTTCTTTTCAAGATTCAAAGCTTTCAGGATGGCTGGGTGATGTGTACATAGTCGTTTGCCCCTTCAGAATCTCTGGGTCATCTCAGCAATCCTATGAGCAATAGTTACCTGCAATAGCTGAACTTGCCAAGGGAGATGGTAGACACTGATAATCGAACTCCAGACCGCTCTAGAATACCAGTGCGCTAATCAACAGTGTAAGAAAGGCATGCAGGTCTTGTGGGACAGTCATTGCATCCATATACCCATGAAGTAACTTATAAAACCAGGATCTCTGGGTAATCTCATTAGCCTTAAAAGCATCAACTTACTGTGGTTTAGGCCATGCGCTCTGCACTGATATCTCTTGAGCGAATTGTAATGCCACCATTCTCCGAACGGCCATCCCTCACATGGTAGTCATGTGTTATGCGGATATTGCCAGGCTTGGCTTCACGTCATTGTTTTACCTGCTTGTACTGCTTTCGCTCTCCCCACAGCCAGCCCCACCTGATAGTCTTGTGTGACGAGGATGTTGCCGGGGTTGAGGTCGCGGTGCACGATGGGCGTCGCGAAGCTGTGCAGATACGCCACTCCCTCCGCTGTCCCCACCGCCAGCTGCAGCCGTTGCTGCAGGGATAAGGGGGCTGAGGAGAAAGGAGGTATATGTGAAGAGAGAAGCTGAGAATGAAGGTGAGAATGAAGGTGAGAATGAAGGGATGCAAATTGAGTTGCAAGCATTGGAATGCCTTTGGAAAGAGGTGAAAAAATAGTGTTTTGGTGTGGAACGACGCGATGAGAGAGGAGGTGAGGAATAAATACCCAACCGATCCGAGTCGATCAAACTCGGTACAGTAAATGAACACTCAACTGTGACTCCACCAGAAAGGTGTGGGCAATAGCACGTGTGTGTAAAACACTTTTTGCATGAAACATATTACTGGTCATGGCACACTACGTGCCATTGTGAACCTTTATACGGTCCTTGCCGGATCGTGTGGTCATTATTTATCTTCCACAAAACATCCCCCAATACATACCTTCCCAACCAATCTCCGTCAACATCGCTCCATAAATCGCACAGTCCGGTTTTCACCACTCCGCGCATCGCACAGGCCTTTCTCCCCCTCAGCACCCTGACCTCTTCAAGGACCGTGTTGAGAGGATTTTCTCCAGCTCCGTTTTATCTTTACTCCTCTGTGTCACCATACCAACTCTAGGGCCTGCTGTCTAGACAGGTTGACCGAACCGAGTTCCGTTGTTGTGACCAGATGACAGGTCGGGTAGACGTGTTGCGACGGGGTGCCATTACCTGTTAACTTGACAGATTCTCCGGTCACGGGTGAAGCTGACCCGGCTGGATATAACCTAACCGGCTGGATATTATCGTCCTGGCCCCTCTGTATCGGTACCAGCAGAACTCTGACCGTTCCTGGGAAGAATGTCAAGCCAGTCTACCATAAATAGCAGAGCAAGCTATAGCCTGTTCCGAGGAATGAAATGTAAGCAAAGAACAACTAGCGTATGAACCACTGTTCTGATTACACAAATGAACAAATTGAAAAGTACAAGCATGGGAGCGTACTCTTAGAATCATGGATGTGGTAGTCGAAGGCCCTGGTGGTACAAGTTTAGGAAGACACTATTTTATTCTCTGGGAATGTCTGGAGGGAGGGACTTACTTTTGGAGTCACGGATGTGGTAGCTAAGGTCCCCGTTGGGCACAAACTCGTAGACGAGGATCTGCTCCTGCTGGCCGCTCTCCACGTTCTGATGCAGGCAGAAGCCCAATAGGCGCACCACGTGCTCATGTCGCAGCGACGCCATCGCCCGCACCTGCCAGTGGCACGAGAGGTTGAAGGAGAACAAAAAAAGAAACGTTAAAAGGAACGTTCTCATGCCGCAGCGACGCCATCGCCCGCACCTGCCAGAGGTGAAGTGGGTTAAAGGAGGAAAAACGAGGGGATTAAAGCAACGTTTCTATGCCGCAACGACGCCATCGCCCACACCTGCAGATGGCAGTGGGGGGGAAGTGGGGAGGGGAGATTGATGGTGGGTTATAGGAGAACAAAAGAGGGGGTTACTGGAACGATTTCATGCCGCAGCGACGGCTTCGCCTGCACCTGCAGGTGGCAGGGGGAGGGGGGATGGGTGAGAGAGGCTTACAGAGTGTTGTTGCAAAACGAAAGGGGGTTAAGTGAGTGTTTTCATGCTGCTACGACTCCATCGTCCACACTGGGCAGCTTATTGCTGGTAGAAGGCAGGCAGACCTCGCGCCAGGACCACCAAGAGGAGTTTCTATATAATCACATCCTAATGTGGACCACCATTTGCAGGAATGAAATCTGTAAAGTGCAGCTCCTAGCATGGTCCGGTGGTACAAAGAACAAGTTCACTCAAGCATCTCAACGCCACCAATGTCACTCCAAGCCCCCACTGTGCACGTGTTTCCCTCCCAGTCTTGTGACACAATTCTCAGCAAGCTGCACACTAAGTCAGGCTTAATGCAAAAGATGGACAGTAAAACCCTTCTGTACTACTTAGATCTCAACAAAATCCGAGCTCAAGAACTTCAGCAGTAGAGTAAAACAAGCATGTTTGGGCCGTTTAAGGGGTGACCCTAGCAGGCCTTCATCAGTGCTAATGAAAAATGCTGATCTAACCTATGCTTCAAGAAAAAACGAAGCCTCATAAAAAAACTGATCTCTAGGCTATCGACAGAAAAACCCTTGAAAGCTCTCAGGTGGCCATGTTATTGATTCTTGGAGCGTCTTCGTTGAAATTCCAATTCACAACTACGCCAGGCGGCAACTTCAAAAGTTGTGCGCGTACCAGTAACCCTGGTAACAACCAATATGCCATGCAACAAGAATAATTCTCCACATATAATCCGCATGTAATGAGTCGTGCTTTGAGTTGACTTAAAACACGGTGCTCGTGTTTCCCTGGCTTACCTCCTTCTCGAAGTCGTTGGACATGAGCTCATTGCGCTTGATGGCCCCCACAGCTCACCCTTGCTGGACACCCCCTTGTAGATGGTAGCAAAGCCCCCCTTCCCCAGCACACGCTCCTCTGCCCAGTTGTCTGTTGCCCGCAGAATCTCCCCCATGCTGAACTCCTGACACACGTCCAGGTCGCTCCATTTTCCTGCCACACAGGGGACATATCAGAGACAAAAGGCAGTCATTAGCATGGGTTGGGCCATGCTGGCTTGGGCACTGGAGAATCGGCCCAAGCCCTTAGCAGTACTAGTACCTTAAGGGCGAGTGAGGAATACCTCATAAAATACCTCAACGGACAAGCGAGCCCGCCCAGCGGACCTCGCTGCCCGGCGGCAAAAAAAAAAAAAACCCTATCGGGAAGGCATCCGGTCAGGGAGGCATCAACCCTAAAAACCTTGTTGCATGGTGTTTAGGGTTGATGCCTCCCTCAGAAGACATGCTATTCGAGGGGGTTTTGGTTTTTTCTGCCCGGCGGTCAGGTCGACGGAGGGTCGACGGGCCGTCGACTCTCCGTCGCCCAATTCCGCTGAGATATTCCATACCAGGAATTGTCACTAATAGCTAGGTGAATCAAATCTTTGGGTTCAATCATCTTGAGCAGCTCTATTTTGTGTGGTTGCATCCGTCATATAGGGGTAGAGTAGAACCTACAGGGAATAATAATGTTTTAGACTAAATCCTTGAACCGATTGTTCAAGAAGGAAAACAATTGACCTTAACTAATAAATATATAAATAAATAAATAAACAAATAAATAAATAAATGAACTGGGTTGAACAGATGAACGGAAAGGGTGGAATCCCAACCGAATCTTCAATGGGAAGACTGGTTGTATTATGAGGGCAATCCAAACCAGATAGGGTTAGGCTAACAAGTTACGACAGATGTTTCTTTCTTTAGAGTATACCAATGCTAGCAGCCTACTTCTGATACACGCGCTTGGCCTGGTTGCAAAATACCAACCATAGAAAGTGACGCTCCATTAAGGTAAGCTGACAGTAGTGGTCTTCATGGCCGAGGGACTTGGTAACAAGGACAACAACGTGCTCGGTTTTGGGATACCCATTTTTGTGCAACTCACTAGGAAGACGGTGGCAGACCTCAGTGTGCTTGGTCCGGCTGTGAAAGCCAGGCTCCTTGGTGAGGTAGATAGTGTTTTTATTTTCACACCACCGTAGGCATGGAAACAAAGGCGAACCCTTACCACTTGAACACGTTTGACATGCGATCTTCTATATCTAGTTGAACCCCATAAATTTCTCAATCCTGGAGTATCCTCTTCTAGGCGTGAATGGGAAATGGGTGACTCAAACCTGTTCTGTTCGCCTCAAACAAATCCGGACACCTGTTCAAATCTTCATACTCTCGCAAGAATGCTGTTTAACACTGAGTGTGAGGGGGGAAACACTTGGGAGTGCTAGCTGGGCAGGTAAGTGCTGAACAACACAAATCTGCTCAGTTTGGGTGTGCTATTCGGTATAGGGAGTTGCAGTTTGCATTGCACAATGTCCGCCCAGCACTCTCGAATTCTGCCAAACGTGCAAAGTTCGCAATCTGCACATGTTGCATTCCACTCTGTTATTTTGAATCTATCACAAATTGGTCGCCTACAAAGGCGAACGCTCGAACACTGATTCCATACAAAATGTTCTGGGCAATTCGAACATGTTCAGGTTGCTCATGCATAATGCCGAGGACACCGGTTTTTGTACGTCAGACAGATTGCGGACTGGTAACCCGAATGAGTTCGAATGAAACCTGCCTAAAAAATATTGTTGTGGACCAACCAAGTTACAGTGCATTTTCCATGACAAAGTGTTCAAAAAATTCAACGCTAATAAAATTCTTCCATAGTTTGCACTTTTCCCCCAGATGTTCCCAAGTGCGGACAAGGCGGCACATTGTTTGGACATGCGACCACTCGATGTCGTTTCCTCAAGAGATCGTGTCGAACACTCAGCTGGTTGTTATGTAAATGCCAAGGTCCTAGTTGTGTTGATCACCCGTTGTGAATTGAGAAGATGGGGCAGAATCTGGATTCCACTCCCACTCCAAAACGGTGGAGGGATTGTTGGCGGATTTGGTATGTGTTGCTTCGGCTTTGCACTTCCAAAATGGGCTTTTCCGCCGATAATTTTGCAACCCTTCAAGCCCTCGGCTCACTGAACGCGACAGGGGGGAGTGGTGAGGTAACCGTTCGTTAGATTGGCTCGCTTGACATTGCCTCTCATGGTGTCCAAGGCAGTGCTCTCTGTACCCTTCCCGGGACACCTCCGTGTGGATTTTGACTCGCAAGGGCATACTTCCTTGGAGTTTGGACTTGGAAACGCAATCTGAGCATGTATGTGATGGAAATGACAGTTCGGAGGGAGGGGCGGTGGCTCACTGCGTTGGCGAGGCCAGAGCAGCGCGACAACGAGAGTGAGGAGGAGAGCAAAGGCAGCAGCAGAGCCCACAGCGATGCCCACCACTGCGCCCATGGAGAGCGCTGGAGAGAGGGTGGGGGGGGTGGGGAGGGTGTGGAAGGGAAGGGGAAGAGCAAATAATCTAAGACGGAGGACGAGCATTTTACAATAAACAGAAACACTTGCACATAAAGCTGTTTTTCCTTGGTTTGACATTCTTTCCAGCTCCACCTTTTCAAACCAGGAAATTCTCCTTCCCTTCTTAGGTAATCACGCAGCACACCTGCAGCAGGGGGCGGAGCAGGGCGGGCGCAGGTGGAGCCGAGGGTGCCGTTGGTGGGGACGAAGCCGTCGTCGCACTCACACGTGAAGCGCGCCTCTGCTGCCCCCGCCTGCGGCGGCACACACGCTCCGTTCCCGTCGCACGGCCCCAGCTTGCGCGACATGCTGCAGAATGCCAGGCACTCGTCGCTGCTGCGCTGCATCTCGTTCGCCGTGCACTCCATCTGCTTGTTCAATGTGAAGCAGTTCTGCCGCAGACTCGCCTTTCCGCGCTTGTTAGCTCCTGCGCGTATTGTCTGAACAAATCCTCCCAACCCCTGGGGTGCACATCGGCCACCTGAGGGGAACGTGAGATCTGCTGATGTCAAGACAAGAGGCTGGATGCCTCCTGAGGGGCAGAACTGGCAGCCATCGGCGTAGAGCATGGGGTCGCCATAGAAGAAGTTGCCCGCGATGTTGAGCAGAGCGCGGTTGTCAGGAATCATGCTGCGGAAGTTGCTGTTGATGGGGCCGTAGAAGCTGTTGTTGCTGATGTCACTGGAATGAATGGAAAGAGGGGTGGCAAAGAGAAGCGTGGAGGGCATTACAGCATTGGCTTGCACTTGCTGTCTGCCTTGGGCGAAGGCCCAAGCTGTGGGCTACGTTGTGGCTCTAGCTAGTTCATGCTGAATTGAACCAAGCAAAAAGCAGGCAAAATCCTCGATTCACACAGATAGGCTCGGGATGGGTTGGGATAGGTCGACCCGTTGTCCATGTTTTGCAGTGGTGAAATAGTTCCTACAAGGTCGAGTCGAGTCAAGCAAAATTGGTCAAAATTTCACTAACCCTGCTATTACTTGACGAGAATCATTTGAGGCCCACGGGCTGGGGGGTTTACAGTTGGTTCTTTGTGCTGTGGCGAGCTGTCGAGGGGATGTGTGGGGGCTGCAATGGAACCAAACATCTTTGTTTATCAATTGTTCTAGGGACCTGACTGTAACAGAAATCGACGATGAACAGGTTCGGTTTGACGCGGCTCCGAAATCAAATACATCAAACTGGTTGGAATCAAAACGGACTGTGTAAAAAGGCTCCAAGCGAACAGCAGTTGATTTTATGGCTCACGTTGACAGCTCAATGCCAACCGAACCGCATCCAAGTGAACCGCAGTTGATTTTCTGGCTCACGTTGACTGCTCTGTATGTTTTATATATATACACAACAAAAACCACTTGTCCTACATTCTTAGCAACCATTTGAGAACAATGCTCCTTCATACCTCCCAAATTATACACATACGCAATATCAGTAAACATTATTCACATCTTGTGCAAGCAGTGTTCAAAGAGGCAGGACGGGAATTCCCCATAAAAAGTTGTTGTTGTGAAGAAAACTGAAATAGTGAGAAGACATGCAGTGCAATTAACAAAACATCATTGCTATCTGAAAGGGAACCTGCAAAGCATCTGAGCATGTGGAGGAGCAGCAAGAACAGGAGTAGTACTTATTTGGAGCGACTCAGTTGCCGCCTTTACATAACGATGCAACCAGGATTGGAGTGGCAACAAGAACGTACATTTGTTCTAGCTTGGTGAGGTTACATATTGAAGCAGGGAGTCTTCCTGTGAGCTGGTTGTCAGACACGGACCTGCCAGCGTGTAGAAGCATTAGAGTATGCATGAGAAACGGATCACTAGTGTCAGGTCCCAATCCCACCCGTGTTGTGTCGGGTTGGGCTATTCGTCTTGGTTCAGGTCGACCGGCTTGATTTGTCGGGGTTTCCTTATCCATTGGGCTGGTTCAAAATCATATCCAAATTAAATTGTCAGAGGTACGGGTCGACAGTCGAGGTGGACAATCTGCGCAGGTTGGTGGTTATTCGTTGACTGGCGGTTGAAGTGTGGTGATGTGCGCCGGTCGATCTGCAAGGGTTGGCAGTCACAATTACCAATCCGCGCAGAGTGACAATCGAAAATATCCAATCGGCATAGTCTGGCAGTTCAATCGAAAATGCCAAATCTTTGCGGACGAGTGGTTGATTGGCACGGGTTGGAAGGAACAAGGCCGAACTGCGCAGATAGTCATGTAAGTCCAGGTCTGGTCCTTTGCCCCATCCCAGGGTGCTGACCGGACCACGGGTCGAACCGGACAGTCTCCTTTCCCAAACAAAAAGTGGATTATGCCATAAGTAATGATAGAAAAGTCCAGTATGAAACTATGCTTTTTACTAGCACTACCAGCATTTTTAACAGTATCTGGCTGTATAGGTAGGTTATACAAGGTAATTACTCCCTAATTTCAAGCCTTTGTTTTTGCTTCGATAATTTAAGGTGCTTGTTCAATAATGCGGTCTTATGTTTTTTTTAGATATCCTCAAAGAGTCACTTCAAGAAACTCAAGGGTCAAATTTAAAAGCATAGACCAGAGCTGCTTTGATTGCAACCAAGTTGGTGGGAGTGCATTCATTAGACTGCATAGCGTAGATTACCCAATGCAAGCTTCTCTCGCTTTTAAGTTCGTCAAAAAAACGCTGCTGGTACACCATCCATTCTTTTGAAACCCCCTCTTTTCCCTAACGCTGACCTTGTTTCTTCATTACATTTGTTTTTGTGCTCGCTAATTTAACCAACAGAGGTGTGGCATGATCCAAGATTCATGGGATAATCTGCTAGAATGGAAACTTTGAAAGGGAATGGTCAAGCTGCCTACGGATTAGATTGAGAGCACAAGAAGGGTCAATCTAGACATTTGGTTGGAGTCAAACTGGTTCAGCGATGAAATTCACATGGTCGGCTCTGGTCACGAGCCCTTGGCTCGTCACATATTTTCGACCTCGCCTGTTGGCATCCTTGCATAGCATGGTAGGCACATGGTAAAGTCTTCACGATATGATTTAATTACAGGGTACGAAGGTTGGAGAGGGTCCCAAGGCTAGAGGGTAAGGTTCCTGAGATGCCATTGGCCGCCAAATCTCTGATGGGTTTGTAGAGTGATGGATGCGTGGCACAGCACCATTGGCGCTTAGAAACAACTCTTGAGGTGCCGGGGTGCATGATTGAGAATCGTATGAGCATGTTTAATAACAACGCTGAGTGATTGAGGCGAGATGATGAGTAAGAAAGGTCAACCAGAAAAAAGGACATCATATGTGGAGGAACCACAGAGCAGCGAGTGCTGGTGGAGCATGTCAGTATGTTTACTGAATCATGCCAGAATTTATGCAAACTACATGGCCTCGAGGTTGGTGAGGGTCGTAAGACATGCAGGCAAGTTTCCTGATAGCTGGTTGTTGGCCAATGAACTGTAGGGGTCACAAAAAAAAAATCACAAGAGGGAGGATGATCGTTGTTACAAGTGATAGGACCTTGCTGTGTCATGGCCACGTGTTGCGCAGACCTCGAGTCTCCAAGCCTGAGGCATGAGAGATAGTTACTTATGATGGACGAAGACTGTGACGGAGATATTGACGGAGATATTGACGGATAGTGATGATAAAGGCACATGATAGTGGTAAATGGCTCACATAACGTTGAGTGTAGTCAGCATGCTGATTGATTGTGGTATGGAACCTGTTAAGTTGTTGTCTCCTAGAAGCCTAGAGTGGGTGGGATGAGAAAATAGCGATCAACAAGAAGCCCAGGAAACTGAACACCGTATATTGAAATACTACAAACACTTGTATCAATCTCAAACCTTCTCCCTTGTACCAATGTGCTGGCCGTACCAAACTTACAAGTATTCAAAAGACGTGCTCCATTGTGCGAAGTCGGGAAGAGGGCCCAAAAATCCATTTCCTTCAAGGTTCCTGTCATCACAAACAAGTTGTTGGGGATCATTTCTTACGAATTCATCAAGACAAAACTGGGTGACAATGGCATGCCCATCCAAAAGACCTATCTGAAGGCTCAAGTCAGCAGCCCGTGTTTCCCATCGCACGCTGTTCTTAGTCCACTTCAACTCATATGAACGTACAATGTGCGGATAGTTTTGGTTACTAATGAGCTGGGCAGACTTCCACTAAGCTGGTTGTCATTCAAACCTCTGTCAGGTGTTCCATGTGGAGGGACAATGGTGAAAAGAGAGACAGAGTGGTGGGAAAGAAGGATAATGTGGAGGATCGATAGAAGCAGGGTGAGAAATCTGGCGAAAGAAAGAGCGATGCGCAGCGAGCAAGTGTGCAGTACAGCATGCTTGCAAGAACTTGCAATGCAAAGATCGGGCGGGGCTCAGACTTGGTATGAATCTGTGGCAAATTGGGTCGACCGTTTTGCCACTCAAACTTAATGTCTGTGCGGATCTGCAATTTGGTGACCGATCTGCGATGCCCCGGTCATTTGAGCAACAATTAACTTGAGTATTCACGTTGCCCAATACCTCCCAATCAGTCGACCGCCCCCCAACCGCACCTCACCACATTCCTAGTACCTAACCTTTCCGCACACATTTTTGTCACTACTCTTTACTCTAATTCTCTCGCCTGGCCTAGCCCTCACGTGGTGTCTGCCATCAAGCCGGGTCGACCCGAGATGTGTTGTTGTGACCCGATGACATGTCAGGTCGGCCCGTTCCAATGGGCCACTAATATCTGCCTACCTTACGGATTTTTAAGACTGAGGCAGACCCGACACGACTAGATAATACTGACGCACCCCCCAACCCCACCAGTTTCCCCCCTGTCGTATGCAAAATGTCGGGACAGGTCGGGTAGATCCGACTTCACCAGATATGCTCAAGCCCTGGGGAAGCCAACTTGACCAGTCAAGAACATCGCAACCAGTTTCCAATAAAGCCCGACCACAGTTGAGTTTTGATTGACTCGTTTTTCCTAGGTGGCCCCACACACTAACAACTCCCCCAGCCACAGAAGTTTGCATACTTGCTTCTAGACCAGCAGGTGCATCAGCGCATACTGGTTCACAAGTGCGTACAATGGCTAAGGATTCTACAGGCTGTAGCAGGAGCTCAAGTAAAAAGGCTCATCGAGTGAAAACAACTCATTTTAAAACCGGCACTATTGAGGTTTTGTGCCTCGAAATTAGTTATAAAGGCTAAAAAAGGTCTAAGCAAAAATGGAGTAAACAATTGCTTGCATTCTAAGTTCATGTTTCACAGAAACAAAATTATGGCCAAAATTGGAAAAAATACGATGATATTGCACCTGGCATGGCAAGTCGATGGTGGAACTAATGGAACGTTAACAAAAATAAGACATTTGGGCACGCACGGAACTAAACAGTGGAACAGGGGCATGCATGGAGTTGAGGGCATGAAAAATGCAAGATAACAATGGGGAAGCGAGGAAAGGTGAGCACTGAGAAGGAAAAGTGTGTTTGTCTCTCCACTCACAATTTATCAATGCTTGTGAGGGTAAAGATACCAAGAGGGACCTCCCCATGAAAGTTGTTACCGTCAAGATCTCTGGCAAAGAGGAAGATGGATTGGATGTATTCTTTATATTGTGACGTCGACAGAGCATGTATTCAGAATGTCAAGAGGTAAAAGGAGGGGAAAGGAAAAGGGAGGGGAAGCACAGGGCGAGGGGATTGGACTATCATGCGCCAAATAACTGACAACAGCCCAACCATGGGGGTTGTCGGCATGATCCTTCATGCCCCCACTGGTGCTTCAAAGGGCTTATGTGCAGCCCAGCACCCTCGAACGGACTTGTCATGACCACAGTGATTCAATCGAACACACCAGAAGGCAAGACAGGACGCATATCGCATAGAATAGGCAGTGGTACATGCCACGAACGACCCATTTGAAAAGGAGGTT